AGAAAGGTAGCTCTTCTTGAAACCCCGAACTATCTAAATTCAATATAGTCTCTTTATATTCTCTAATACTGAACACTAATTCTCACGCCGGATGTACAATGGGGGAGAAAGCCCTGGTCTCATTTTGCAGGTGGTAAAAATCGATTGGACAGCTGGAACACCAGTCACATAAGGGAAAACACGAAATTTACCTCACAACTATTTCATTTCCGCCGTCTATGGGAATCCGACGCCGACCGGCGCTGGTCGACCTTCGGCCAGCCTCCACCCAAGACGTCGACCCCCCGGAGGTCCACTACGCTCATCTACCACTAGGAGACCGTCGACCCCAATGAGGCCATCTACGTTTACACAAGGCCGCCTACCACCATGCGACCAAAATCATACTTAGCCAAATAAATGGCAATGAGTTGGACGAAAACCACCTAACAGGGAACGTGGGCATAATCAACCACTTGACGTGTGGGGTTCACAACTCTAGAACGTGGAGGAAGTTGGAAGGTTTACGTGGGACACGTTGTACCAGTAACCGCCAAACGCACGCACAGCAACATGTGCCTATAAATAAATCAAATGTGAGAAAGATAGCTCTTCTTGAAAACCCGAACTATCTGAGTTCCAATATAGTCTCTCCATATTCTCTAATATTGGACACTAATTCTCACGCCAGAGGTACAACGTGGGAGAAAGACCCGACCTCATTTTGCAGGTGGTAAAAACCGATTGGAGCAGTCGGAACACCAGTCACATCAGGGAAAACACGGAATTTACTTCACAACTATTTCATTCGATATAAGATTTTATCCCTTAATATGTTCCGCAAGATGGTGGTTCGTTGAACAAACCAATCTTGAAATCCGTGTTTTCATTTTTTGAGTCTTAATCTTATTGAATTGCTCATTGAAATTTAATGAGTTCTGATACCATATTAAAATTTGGAGTTCTATCTTAAAAGATGAACCTTATATATACTATCGAAATTTTTTGTTAGATAAAAAAGTCAAGTAAATAGCAAGTTCACAATATTTAATTTGTTTAATTTTTTCTTTGCTTCCAAGTATTAACATGTTAGATCATCAATAAATCACCATGTAAGCGTAACACGTGTGTTGCACATTCAAGTAAGTCGTTATGTTTGAAAAGATAAAACATACCTACAACGTGTTAATTCAAATGCTAAACCTTTGGGATCAAAGATGAGAAAAATAAATTTATTTAGGTTTTTTATTTTCAAAAGAGTCGAGTTCTGACAATTCGACAAATCATCCACTTAAACCTTCCTCTCACTTATTCATTTGCTTAAGATCTCGAGATTCTTAATCGCTCCTTTGAATGAGAATGAATAGTATATGAATGACAGTTCTTAAACAAGGGAGCTAAAGGTCATGACCTAAATGCTTCTTTTAAAGGGTCAAAAGTTACCGACTAAAGATGAAGGACCTCCACTGATATTTCCCATTTAAATCAATCAAAATCTATGCACCAGTCTCGGCATATATCATCATAGTCATCATCATTGCTCCCTCTCTCCCTCTCTCCATTCCATATTTTCTGACTTTCTTCTGAAATCCCATCCCACCTTCCAAATCACCATTTCTCTGCATATATATACGTATATATACAATTACACACAATCCCATAGGATGCAAATTCATTATTAAAATCAGTATCGTGTTTTGTTTTCGTTTAATTCTCTCTGAAGTCTTCATATTTGACAACTTGATCGAAGATCAGCTGTTGTTTATTATAATCCATGTATATACAATATTCTAGTTTCGGGTTGGAAATTTAAGAAAAAAAAAGTCAAAAGGCTCGAGGG